TTCTCCCTGAATTACGACGGCGACGTGTTCCAATCCGACGTGTGTGGTTCCAGCAGGATGTTGCGACCGCCCACACAGCCCGAGCATTCATGGACGTTATTCGCCCTCTCTTCCCTGGTCGCCTTATTTCCAGGTTTGGCGATGTTCATTGGCCTCCTCGGTCCTCGGATTTATCCATATGCAATTTTTTCTTATGGGGACACCTCAAGGCTAGAGTATACGCGAACAAGCCCCGAACTCTGGACGAATTGAAGGACGAAATTCGCGTGGAAGTCGTCCAAGTTGAGAGAATCTACGCCAACTTCCAAGAACGCATCCAGCACTGCATCAACGATTTCGGCCACCACATGCCTGATGTGATTTTCCACACTTGACTGTCTCAAATGCTATTTCCTTGTGAATCTGATTCCATCAATAAATTTGTTTTCGAATAAAAATTAACTATTTTATGATTTTTTTAAAACCGTCTATCCTCTCTGCCGCACCCTGTACTCTATCCTCTCTGCCGCACCCTGTACAATATGTAACATAATAAACTAGCCGCTCGCTGGGACCGCTTACTTGGACAAGCTGGATGCGTTGTGTCAACTTCAATAAATAGTCCTATTTTCATTGAAGTTTCGATCAATAATACAGCTTTCGATCCCGAAAAGAGAAAATTTTATTTGAAGTGATAATGATATGAACCTTCCACCTACCACCCATTTTTTATTCTGGAGCAGTTGCGAAGCCAGCACCTAAATAAAGAGGTAACTATAAACTAGTCAAAGATATTTTTGAACTGCCTGAAATTAGCAGAACTGGGAAAGGCCGCTGAAGTCAGACAAACGAGTGGTCATAACTGCCAGTTTCCGAAGCGCAGCACTCAACCGAATGAGAAGCAGAAGTGGAGCAAAAACAATTTTGCCCAATTGAACAACATTGCGTTCATTCAATAAGTCTTTTAGGTGAGTACACGAAAATGCTAGCCTCATAAGAAATACCTAAGTGGAGTTTGAGGAGTGTATGATATCAAAATTTACCTCATATAATTTTCTGCTACATTAAAAAAACCACGAACATCGAAGTTTAAATATTTGTTCTTCGCACTTAGCTCCGGTGCAACTGGATCGACTTTGGAAACCTACAAAGCCTTTGTGTCAAAGTGCTAAGATCACAATAATACTTTTCGAGTTACAGATAATGATAATAATAAGACGCCTTTATAGGGCGCAGTTTAGATTAGACAGGGATTACGGAACAGACAACAAACATGCCGATGGGGATAGACATAGTTTTTCATGATAAGCATGCTACTTGACATAAAAAGAACACCAATTGGCAAAATTACCTCGCATACGAATCAAGAATACGAATATGAGAATCCAAGATAAAAATGTATCTGCCAACAAAAATCAACAATTTATATTAAAATAATGCTGAAAAAGAGAAAAACCTCCTACCAAAGGCAAATACCAGAATCCTTTGTTTTATATAGAACTAAAAAATGAGAATCAAAGATAAAATGCTAACAACAATGGTCAAAAAGAGAAAACCTCATAATAACTGCAAATATCAAAATCCTTCGTTTTATATACTCGTAAAACTCAAAAATCGCCCAGCTACTCCGCAGCTATTTCATTCTGATACCAGGCTATATTTTTGGCATGTCAGCTGCATGCTTTCACAGGCAATTGCAGGAGACAAAGGTAACCTTTTAATAACAGTCCTCCATCTAGCGGCATCAAAGAGCCAATTGTCTTGTCAAAAACAGAAACAATCCTTTTACAGATTCTATAAACGAGGGATCTGATCTGTTTGATTTTTCTTGTTTCGTTAATATTTTGTTGGCATCTCATTTTTGCCTTGATTCGAGTCGTTTTCCAATGCAACTGGAAATCTCATTATTTTCATTATTTCTACCAAAATTAATAAAAAGAGGTACGTAATGGGAATATCATCTCAGCGCAATGTAATGATCTTATTATGAGGTTATTTTCGGAGACAGCTAAGTTCTCTAACAGAGACTACTACTCAGCTTTCGTTCGTTATTAGATATTATTGCGTATTAACTAGATAAAAATGTTCTGCTTCCGTTTTTCCGACCAAAGATAGCCAATCATAATGCTTTTTGGATACTCCTCAGCATGATCTAGGCTCGGCTCTCTCGGACGACGAATACTATCAAATGCGTGAGGTCTATCGTTTATTTTGTTCAATGGCAAGTAAACCACATCTATCACACAGCTAGAATCACCACCATTTATTGGTGACTAGGCCTTCAAATCGCGGACTGACATCTATACAGTTCCAACCGGTAGGCTGCGATTCACTGTTCGCAACAATTTTCGAAATTCTTCGCGACTACAACACTTCACCGCCAATAGGCGTGCGGAATAAAAAACAAAATAATTGTCTTCAAGCTTCCTACAAACTGTTCGAGGTTGGGATTAATTTACATCATTCCTGGTTACCATACTGAAACCGCGAGGGTACCTCTGAGTTCAATCTGAGAGACCTCCTACCTGAACGGACAGTAAGGTGGATAAAATACCTAACAGGAACCAATTTGTAAACCAAATATTCATTCACTGTGAGTCCGTGCCGCTAGTAACTCAAAGTCCTTTCCTGTCAAAGGGCTACGATTTGCATCGTAAGGTAAGTTTATATACGGTTTCAGACTAGACCGTAATATTTTCTTTTGCTATCGGTTACTGAAGTTGTTAAAAGATGCAGATGAACCATTTCCATATACTTTACCGGAAGATTTTATTTGTCTATGGTCTAACATTCTAGAAAGGAAACCCGATCATATAAAACTCGTTGAGCCTTCCGTTACGTTATTTTCGACAAATAACGAATGTCGACGAAAAAAGGGTTTCTATGGTGACTAGAGTGAACCGTGGTAATTTGACAGTACTAGACTACTGTCATTCATGGTAGGATCCAATTTTAACGTGAAACCCAAAATTTCAAAACAGTGTTAAACTTTTTCATAGAAAAGTTTCCGTAATATTTGTGTCCAAAGGGGATAATAAATAAACAGGCTTAGAATCATAGAACCACAGAAGGGCAAGTGACGACAAAACCAACAGAACTATAATAAAAGTGTACCTTGCCATACTTCATAAATAACATTTTTATCTGTGATCGTATCTCATATTTCTATTATATTTAACCAATATGTTATTATAACTTGAAATTATATTAATTAAGCTTATCCAGATTCACAAACTCAGGCAACAACGCTGAATAAGGAAAATACGAAACAAGCCCTCTATCCTTTGTAGCTAACGGTGCGTTTCTATTTCGATAATGGATAACGGATGATTGTCTGGCTACTACGCAAAATCGAAATAAAGAACATCAAATACCGAAGAGCACTAAAATGTCCCTATTGTTTCAACGTGTTTTAATGTTTTATATTAGTATCTACAGAGAGGCATGGCATGCATATACAAGTGTTTCTAAAACGTGCGTATGATCAAAATTCAAGAGGTGACTCCTTGGACTCTCAATATTTTCTAAAATTCGTTTTCTTTTGAACATAAAGGGTACCCTAATAAGAATGTCGGATTTGATTTTCAAGAAAAACAATTTCTTTTAGAATTTAGCGAGTAATTAGATTCAGCATGAAGAGGAATAGTTGCGATCAAACATAAAATAGGACATCCGGTAAATGGCCACCACGAAACCTCTGGCACAGGATCAGTCTTTTCTTAAAATTCTGGATAACGTTTTGGCACAACTGTGGCTCTATTTCATCGATAGCATGTCGTGTCTCTTCTTTAAGGCGTTTAACTCTTTGTGGCTTGTTCGCATACAACTTTTCCTTCACATAGATCCGGAGGAAGAAGTCCATTGGCGTTAGATCGCACGATCTTGGTGGCCAATTTTGATCGCCAAGCCGAGAGACGACACCTGGTCCATAGTAACACCATTGTTTCGGGTGCGTTGTGGCAGATCGCACCGTCTTGTTGGAAGAACATACCCCCCACATCAATTCGATAAAAATTGGGGCCACAAAAACTCGCGATGCCGCACACCATCAACAGTTACCGCAGTTCCATCTGCATTTTCGAAGAAATACGGCCCAATCACTCCGCCACTCCACAATGCACACCAAATGGTGACTCGTGGCGGATGCATTGGTTGTTCGATTATTACACAAGGGTTTTCAGAACCCTAAATTCGGCAATTATGCTTTTCGAGGTACCCGTTCAGTTGACGATGTGCCTCATCAGAGAAAATGATTTTCTTCGAGAAATATTTCTCCAAGTTTAAGTAATCACTTATTCTGGACCTTTAGCTTTAAACTTACACAAAACTTAACTTTTCTACATACATGCAGAGTGTTTCAAATTCGACCCTCACCATTAGGAACTCGGAAACTTCAAGTGATACGAATTCGCTCCAAAAATGAGGTCAAAGTTGGGTATTTAGATAATTAAGAACATTTCGCTCAGAAAGTTTCGAAATTCAAAGAACTTCTGGAGAGAGATGGAAAAAACGAATTTTACCAAAATCGTTTTATTTTTTTCTGACTTCACTTGTAATTGGATTTCAAAATAATTTATACATTAACGTTACCACTTTTTCTCCTCTACACGATGCCATAATTAGAATTTCAATACGACGTTTCGTCTCTTGTCATCCAGTAGCAACTTTATTTTTTCTCATGGGCGCCATATAGGACTTTTGCACAGATGAATAGAGTTTTGAATTCTGATTCCAAAAATATACAGGGTGTCTGCAAAGTTGGGGTTTTCCTTTACACGACGTGTAGATCTTGAAAACATAAGCAATTTTTCTTAGTACCATATACACCAATGTCTTAAGGGAACCGAGATAAAGGGCTCTGCAACATCAAAAATATCTGAATACCGTCCTGTAGCCGCAACCCGCGACATCACCGAGTGGTACAAGGTCACTGGCTCAAGCCGACGACAGAACTGGGTCGGGATCGGTGTATCAGGTCAGTATGCAACCTTCAACCGACGGTTACGGTCACGCGTGTAGAGGTAATCGCGTAGACGAGAATCCCTCAACAAGCACTAGAGACGTGGCTAGAGAAGTGCAAGTATCAAAAACTAAAGTGTGGCAAACGCTGCGTGAAGAGGGGCTGTATCCGTTTCACGTCCAACGTGTACAAGCCCTTCAACCTGACGATTTTCCTGCAAGAGTGCGGTTTTGTGAGTGGTTGTTGCATCAACATGACAATAATCCGGACTTTTTGAAGTGCATATTGGTGACAGACAAATCTACGTTCACGCGTAATGGGGTGAATAACTTTCGCAAAACACTCATGTTTGGTCAGTAGAAAATCCGCACGCTGTCCGTCGGGCACATTTTCAACAAACATTTTCTGTGAATGTTTGGGCTGGCATGGTGAACGGTATGCTCATTGGACCATTTATTCTCCCAAATCGATTGGACGGGATGCAATACCTAGACTTTTTACGCAACATTTTGCCTTCCTTGTTAGAAGATGTACCATTAAGTGTAAGACAATCAATGTGGTTTCTGCACGATGGTGCACCGACCCATTTTAGACGCGAAGTGCGTGAGTTTTTGAATGAATTAGCGTAGCGTGGCCTCCAGACTTAACACCATGTGATTTTTTTCTTTGGGGAGAAATGAAACGCTTAGTGTACAAAACTGAAGTGCATACGGTTGACGAACTTCGTCTCAGAATTGAACAAGCTGGTGCTTTCATTCGGGGGAGGGACTCCATTCTCAAAGCCTGCACCGATGCTTGGCTACATCGTGCACGCCCCTGTGTTTTTTAATCAAACGGCGATAACTTCGAACATACCTATAAAGTACGTTTACCTAAAAACTGAAAACGCGGCAACGACGTCATATTTGTTACCTCTGTTCGTGGTCTGCACCACCGCCTGCGTCTGCTCGGTAGCGCATCAGCTGATTTCATTTTCTGTTGGAGCGGTATGATTTCGGGCAGAGACGTACTTAGCCCTTCTCGTCAACTGGAGAGTGAGTACTTTTTCCTTTATTTTTTTTTACTTGGTCGCCCTCGTTTCACTACACATTACCTTTGTTATTTCAAGGGTAGTTGTTTCTGAAAAGGAAAACCCCAACTTTGCGGACACCCTGTATAATACGTTGAATCTCCTAAGCAAAATAACTTTTATTATTTCCTGACTTTATATGAGACGGGATTTGAAAATAAATTGCATGTTGTCATTGCTACTTATTATCCTCTACAGGCTACAAGATGGCGTAGTCAAATTCTCAATTTCTTCTTTTGACTTTCTTCACCAATTCTGTTTTTCATATAGACGCTACATTGGAATTTTGTACATCTAAATCAACTTTTCAATCCTTAATTCAGTGATGTATCAGGTAACCAAACAAGTTCGTGCGCTTTTTGGTAGAAAAATATAAAGTTTTATTGAGAAACAACAAGACACTATTTATTCGTCGAAGTAATTACCATCACATTCAATGACCTTTTGCCAACGTGGAACCAATTTTTGTAAGTCGGTATTGTAGAACTTCCTGGATTTGGAGTCAAAAAATTGGCGGACTGCATTTATTACACCATCTCGAGTTGTGAACTGCCGGTGCCTCATACAGTTGTAAAGAGACAAAAAAAGGTGATAATCACTGGGCCAAATGTCGAGAGAATATGGCGGGTGTGGTAACGTTTCCCAGCCGAGTTCAGAAATTTTTTCTCGGGTTACTTTTGCGGTATAAGGCTAGGCGTTATCCTGAAAGAAAATCACTGTCTTCCGATTGATCAAAGGCTGTTTCTGGATGAGTGCTGCTTGTACTCGTTGAAGCTGCTCACAATACAAGCTAGCAGTGATGGTTGGACCCCCTTCCAAAAACTCATAATGGACAATTCCAGTTGCTGTCCACCAAACACACAATAAAGCCTTGTTTGGGTACAAGGGTGTGTGTGGTACCGAATCAGTAGGCGACAACCAATGATACGAACGCTTAGAATTCGAATACAAGATCCATTTTTCGTCGCAGGTTAACAACCGATTAGCGTTGCGTGGAATTATTGCTGAACAAATGGTAAGACCACTTAATTTGTTATCATTTGTCAGTTCATGTGGGACCTACTTGCTTAACTTACACGTATTTCCTAGCTGATGAAGATGCAAACGAATAGTTTCAGGGCTCACTCTAAATATGTCTGCAAGATCTTGGCACGTTGTCCTGGAATTTTCGTCCACAACCTGTCGAAGATCCTCGTTGTTCACGATTTTTGGTCTCCCTGAGCACGCTTCATCGCTCACACTGAGATCTGCCGAAAAAAATTTTTTGAACCACTTCTGTGCTGTGCGATCACTAACGGCATCATCTCCGAATGTGGTACATATTTTTCGCGCCGCCGCTGCAGCATTTGTACCAAGTTTGTACTCATACACTAAACAACTTCGAATTACCGTTATATTCGTCGCCATTTTCAATTACTAAAACTAGATATGTAACAATTTTCCACAACTTTTTATGTGTGTGAGAAAAGGATTCATACTAAAGCGACAACAGGTAACAAACAATCGCTATCGATCAACAACATCCATGGCAATGTGCGATATACAGCAACCACACGAACTTATTTGGTTACCTGACATTTCCTTAGTTGGCCATGTATTTGTTGTTGGCTAAAAATTATAAGAGACGAGATTTGAGAAATAAATTGCATGTTTTCATTGTTACTTTTTATCCTCTAAAAGACGGCGTAGTGAAATTCTCCATTCGACATTTTTTCTTTGACTTTCATCACCAACTTTGTTTTTTCATATAGACGCTATATTGGAATTTTGAACATCTAAATGAACTTTTCAGTCCTAAATTCAGTGATGTATTTCCTTAGTTGGCCATGAATTTGTTGTTGGCTGAAAATTATAAGGAAATCAAAAGGTATGGTGAAACCTGAACGCAAAATGAAAATTTTGTTGATGGTAATAATCATAAATAGACAGTGGTAAATCATAGCAGATGATCAAAATGTTGTACGTTATTTTGTAGGCAAAGCTTGACTCTTCTCTGTACATTGTTCTCTGCTGGATTCATTTCTCTTCTTCTCAGTCTTCTAAAATCTGTTGCTGTGTTCAATTTAAGGTCTGGTATACGAAACAAGTGAAATCTGAAAATTTCAAGCCCTACCTAGGAACTTCTATTTTTCTGGAATAAGTGAGGTCTACCAATGTCAAATGTATGACACATTATACATTTTTGAAATCAGAATTAAAAACTCTATTCATGTGCGTATAAATCCAATATGACGTATATAAGAAAAAATAAATATGACGCTGGAGGACAAGAGTCGAAGCGTCATAATGAAATTCTAATTATGCAGTCGTTTAGTTTATGTTGACATACAATTAATTTTGGAACCACATCTCAAATAAAGTCAGGAAAAAATAAAAGTGATATTGGGGTAAATCTAGTGTACGGAAATTTTGTTTTTTTTTAAATAACGAAGGCTCGTCAATGCCAATGTATGAGATATTATATTTCTGGAATCAGAATTAGAAACTTTATTCAACTGCGCATAAATCCAATATGGCGTGCATAAGAAAAAATAAAGTTAAAACTGGAGGACAAGAGATCAAACGTAATTCTAATTATGCATCATGTAAATGAGAAAATGTGGCAATGTTAATGTGCAATGCATTTTAAAATCCCACTACAAATAAAGCCAGGAAGAAATTAAAACGATTTTGAGGAAATTCGGTTTTTCCGTCTCTCCCCAGAATTCAATTTCGAAACTGTCTAAACGGCATTTTGTTGATTACCTACGCAACTTTGCCCCCATTTAAGCAACTTCGTGTCTCTCACAGTTTCGGAGATCCCAATGATGAGGGTCGGAAGTGAAATACCCTGTATATTATAAAGTGATTTTTTATGCATCACAGGGATTTGCAGATCAAAACTGTTACTGTCTGTTAACTTTTATTCAAGAGCAAATTGATTGTCTAAATTCTTTGCATATACTGAAGTTTTAGCGATATACCTGTAGCAAATACACTTTCTCCCTTAATATTAACACAATCCCCTATTATAAAAAACCAATTTTATTTTGTGTATTTTAATATGTACATATATATATAAATTATTTTTTTAAATGTGTATGTATAAGACTTCAACAATTACGCAAGACCAAGACCAAGTCTTCTGTTATGTTGCAATGCCAAGGCCAGGCAAGTCTTGGTCTTGGTCTTGCAAAGCCCTATTTTCGACGACTGCACCTTGCAGGGGAAGTATATAAGTGCTCCCATACCAATCTGAAAACCTTCATCCTACTGACATACATTCCGATGCTTATTTTGGAATTATAAATAATTTGCCACAGAACGCAAGTGTGCATCGATGGATCGTTGATAGCATGCCATAATTCCGGGGAATATTTGGTAAATATACATACACACGATTCCGATGCTTGTTGCAACACTGACGAAACAGAGCATTCGGTAGTCCGCTGCAGATATGCCATTTTCCTTTGGATCGATCTGTTTGGATTCATCCCCCACACACACATCCTCAATTTTCTCTACTGTTTACATCAAACCGCAATTAAAGTCTGCCGTTACATTCCTAAGAGTATTTCCGTAATACGGGGGTGGATTGTTATCATTGGTTGAAATCATTGCCAATGTATCCTAGATTATCAGTCCTTTGTTTCAGATCGTAATCATACAAATACAAATTCGTTCCTGACTTGGATTTATAACTTATAACAGTACGAGGCTGTTACAGGTTTAAAATATTAACAATGAATATTTTGATAATATATAGTAGAAAACACCAACTTTATCACTCTCTAATCAAATTTGCAGCATAAAAAAAAAACACATGTCGCAATTACAGGATATCAACCTATTTTCATTTCAATGCAAAATAAGTCTATAACGCATAGGTGGCTGTGAAAAATAAAAGCCATGACAATTGTTTTTATTAATCACAGCTGTCAGAATACGTTTAAAATAGTTTTGGGTAGTTAAGGTTTCCAAAATGGGTAGAGGAAAGATTATGAGTGAGAAAATTCGGTTACTGATAATTAAATTTTTTAATTCTGGGAAATCAAACTCAGAAATTGGAACTTTGTTAGACTTATCGCGGTACAGTGTGAGAAATATTCTTAGAAGATATAACGTAACTGGTTCAGTTAATATTAAGCCACGATATGTGAAAAAAAGTAATATCACAAATTCAGACCGAAGGGCATTAAGAAGAATAATAGTGAAAAACAGGCGTGCCATTTATTTACAATTAAGTGCTCTGTGGAGTGACGCTGTTGGAAGGAGAATTTCGAGGTCCACAACTCATAGAGAGGCCCACAAACTGGGATTTAGCACTTGCAAGCTAAGTTTTCTTACAAAAAAAAGTGAAGTAAAAACCCTAAAGTTGCACAACTTGTTTATGGGCTATAGAAAAGCCACTATTAACTCCACTGCAAAAGAAAAATCGGCTTAGATGGGCTAAAGAACATAGACAATAGACTCCTCAACAATGGTGTGCAATACAATGGAGTGATGAGGCCCGATTCGAAGTTTGTGTTGGTGACAGTCGCAATAGAGTTATTCGCAAAAAAATGAAGCAT